TGTGTGTCAGTATATCTGTGTGTATGTGTGTCAGTATGTCTGATAATGTATGTGTCTGTGTGTGTCAGTATGTCTTTGTCTGTGTGTGTGTGTCAGTATGTCTGACAGTGTGTCTGTGTATGTCAGTATGTCTGATTGTGTATGTGTCTGTGTATGTCAGTATGTCTGTGTGTGTGTCAGTATGTCTGACAGTGTATGTGTCTGTGTATGTCAGTATGTCTGATAGTGTATGTGTCTGTGTATGTCAGTATGTCTGTGTGTGTGTGTGTGTCAGTATGTCTGACAGTGCATGTGTCTGTGTATGTCAGTATGTCTGATAGTGTATGTGTCTGTGTATGTCAGTATGTCTGTGTGTGTGTGTGTGTGTGTGTGCCAGTATGTCTGACAGTGTATGTGTCTGTGTATGTCAGTATGTCTGTGTGTGTCAGTATGTCTGTGTGTGTCTGTGTATGTCAGTATGTCTGATAGTGTATGTGTGTATGTCAGTATGTTTGACAGTGTCTGTATCTGTGTGTGTGTCAGAAGGTCTGTGTGAGTGTATGTCAGTATGTATCTGTGTGTCAGTATGTCTCTGTGTGTGTCAGTATGTCTGGTGTGTGTGTGTGTGTCAGTATGTCTGACAGTGTGTCTGTGTATGTCTGATAGTGTATGTCAGTATGTTTGACAGTGTCTGTATCTGTGTGTGTGTCAGAAGGTCTGTGTGAGTGTATGTCAGTATGTCTGACAGTGTATGTCTCTGTGTGTGTCAGTATGTCTCTGTGTGTGTCAGTATGTCTGGTGTGTGTGTGTGTGTGTGTGTGTGTGTCAGTATGTCTGGCAGTGTGTCTGTGTATGTCAGTATGTCTGATAGTGTATGTCAGTATGTTTGACAGTGTCTGTATCTGTGTGTGTGTCAGGTCTGTGTGAGTGTATGTCAGTATGTCTGACAGTGTATGTATCTGTGTGTGTCAGTATGTCTGTCAGTGTGTGTGCCTGTTTGTGTGTCAGTATGCCTATTAGTGTGTATGTGTGTGTGTGTGTGTGTCAGCATATCTATCAGTGTATGTATCTGTGTGTCAGTATGTCTCTATGTGTGTCAGTATGTCTTCCAGTGTATGTGTGTGTGTGTGTCAGGCACATACACTGATATACATACTGATACAGGCACACTAATAGACATACTGACACACACAGGCACATACAATGACAAACATACACTGATAGACATACTGACACACACACACATGCGCATATACAGACATACTGACACACACAAACACACACTTATACTGATAGCTATCCTGACACACACACACACAGGCACATATACAGACATACTGACACACACACAGCCACATACGCTGATAGAGATACTGTGTGTGTGTTAGTATGTCTGTATATGTGCCTGTTTGTGTGTGTGTTTGTCAGTATGTCTATCAGTGTTTGTGCCTGTGTGTGTCAGTATGTTTGTCATCATATGTGCCTGTGAGACCGTTTGTGTCAGTGTGTCTTTCAGTATGTCTATCATTGTATGTATTTATGTGTGTCAGTATGTCTGTTTATCTGTCTGTGTATCTGTATGTGTCTGTGTGTTTATCTGTGTGCGTATATGTATGTAGTCAGTGTGTGTATCTGCTTGTGTGTCAGCATGTCTACCGGTGTCTGAGCACAAACAATAAATACAAATACACCCTTCCATTCAAACTTCAACATTACATACAAACACACTCCTGCATTGAAAGTCAACACTTCATACAAACACACCTCTGTGTTAAACAACAGAATTATATATAAACAAACCCCTACATTCAAAAACCAGCACTACACTTAAATGTACACTTGCATTCAAACTCTAACACCACATACAAACACATTCACACAAACATACTCCATACAAAAACATGCTTACATTCAAACACACAAACACAGTGCTAAATACAACCCTGCAAGCATGGGAAATCGGTAGAGCCACGGCTGTCAATGCATTGTTGGAGTTGCACGACAGATAGGGTTCTACCTTCTTTCCAACCTTGCAATTGGGGGTCCAAATGAAATTCTTGCACCAGGGCTCTTTCTACTTTAGTTCGCCCACTGCGTTGGGGTGGAGGCGTGATTGCATGCTAGGGAGTGGATCCAGGGGGCCCAAGCAAATGCTTGCCCAGGGCCCAATCAATATTAAAGACGGCCCTGGCTATGTCATCTAAGCACAGCAATACCCCCATATGTACCTTTGCCAGGTATATGCGGACATTGATGGGGCACATTTGAGACACAGCCATTTAAGTTTTTTCAAACTTTAAATTTTTTACGCTGTGTCCATACCCCACTTTGGAGTTTTTTGGTAGGTTAATTATTCCAGCTACCCCATAAAGGCATACCTTTTCTTAAAAAAGACACCCTAGGGTATTACAAAAGATGTATTTTGAACCTTAGCGTGAAATAATTTTTCCGCTAGCTTATACCAAGTGTAGTGGTAATACGCTTTTTATATGCCTTTTTGACATACTCAGTGAGTTTGTAATATATATTTTGCAAACCTTATATGTGTTACAGCAGTATAATACATCATATGTTGCTCCGCTATGTCATCTGAGTACAGCAATACCCCCGTATGTACCTTTACCAGGTATATGACAATGTTGAAGGGGCACATTTGAGACACAGCCATTTAAGTTAGAATTTTTACGCTGGGTCCATGCCCCACTTTGGAATTTTTTTAATAGGTTGTGTTTTCCATTTACTTCACAAAGGCATACCATTTCCTAAAGAAAACACCCCAGGGTGTTTCAAATGGCATATTTGAAACCTTAACGTGGTATCATTTTTTCGCTAGCCTGTACCAAGTGTAGAGGTAATACGCATTTTCCCCCCTTTTAAATTTTTTTTACAACTTTTTAAAAGTTTTTTTTAACTTTTAAAAAGTTTTATTTAGCTTTTAACAACTTATTTTACTATTTTAAAACTTTGTTTAAACTTTTCAAAAGTTTTTTTCACTTTTTTTTTTTTTTTTACTTTTAACCCCTAACTAGCCGAACCGTAAATCCCCCAATTTCCCAACTAATTTCAAAATATTCAAAATAATTAATTAAATACATTTAACCCTTGAGGATTAAAAAAAATAAAAGTTAACCCTTAGGGATTAAAAGAAAAAAATCAGTTCACAGTGAAATACTGTGATCTGTATTTTGATCACTGCAGGCAATGATCAAAGGGCAGGGAAGGGGTTACATTTTATTTAAAAGAGGTGGGGAGGTGGGATTTTATTGCTAACACTTTTTTTTCTTGCAGAGAGAAAGATCAGTCTGTCTCTCTGCAGTTCACAGCTCACACGGAGCTGCAGGGATACAGATCCGGTTTCACTGCAGCACGTGTGATCGCTCTGACTCCCGGTCAGAGCGATCACATGGGCTGAATCAGTGAAACTGCCCATGGTAGTGTGCCTCCAATATGGAGACACACTACAGGCAGATTAACCCCACGATTGCGCGATTGTGGCAATCAGGGGTTAATTTTCATTTTGGACGGAAATTTTCCGTCCAGCGTCCTTAAGGGGAGTGCTGCAATGACGGAAAATTTCCGTCCAGCGTCCTTAAGGGGTTATTCTGAATTTATTATTGTCATATTATTAACAAAGAACCAACATTTTTCATAGTGCTCTTTTATTCCGGAATAATTATTGAGCAGCTACATGCAAAGTTCAATGCAAGGAGCGAAGGCCTTAGAGGCTCACACAGAAGACAATGTTAAATGGAAATGGAAATTGTGACAGTAGATATGAATATGCTGTTCTTTGTAGTCTCTAAACACAATGCAAATGTTATCAAGCAATATACACATTCTAAATATTCTTTAATAATCCTTTCTTTAGTCTTGGATAAACGCACACAAGCACCTGGACAGCGGAGCATGGTGGGAAATAGTGAAACTCTGACTGCGATAACCATCGTAAAAACGCTCCCAGGTTTTGATACAAGGTTGGCCACGGACGTTATAGACGATACTCTACTTCTCCGACCGATTTGACATAACTGTTCATGACAGTCTGGTCGTTCTATGCATCAAACCTGTATTCCTAACTCTTCAATGTCCCTGACCTTAATTATATAGGGTCCCCCTCATGTGTCCAAACAAAATAATAAAATAAAGGTTTTTACTTACCTTTTTCCAGCGTCGAGACCTCCTTGGTGCTGCTCCTCCTCCTGCAATATCATGTCATGGCCTCCTCCAGTGTGGTTCAATCCAATGCTATTCATAGAGGAACATATGGAATCTAATGCACATGTGGAGTAAGCGACGTGTGCTCTTCCAAACATCCCTATAGGAAATCATTGAATCAGTGCTTTCCTAGTAAAGCTTCCACGTCAAGTGGTCGAGTGGCTGCGGAAGTGCCTGGGGTGGCTGTCAGTGTAACCATTCAAGGTAAACAATGCTGTTTCTGCACATTGGCAATTAATTATATCATTGACAGGGCCACTGCAACCAGGTCAATACACTGAGAGTCACACCTCTTGTCTAAGTTAATTAAAATTAAATACCACCTTTAGTTGTAATGCTGCCTGTCTTTAATAAAGATATTTAAAAAAATAATATAAAAACACCAAAAATTTATGTCAATCTCCCTCACAGAAATATTCTAAATTTATTTTTGCTATTCCGTCTGGTTAAAATTATTTTGCGTACGAAATGTTTAGGCTGCCTTTGGTCCTCTTTGCTACAAGCCTGCTATGCTGTATGTCGGTTTGACGATTTTAATCTATATGTGGAAAATAAAGTAAGCATATTATGTACCGTTGTGAAGTATTATCACTGCTCTTTATCTTTATTTGGAATAATATGGAAAGACCGTACTTTATTAATGAGGTTAGGAGTTTGGGGTCCTTCACTTTGTCCATTTATCTATGAGGAACACTGTAATGACTGTATTGGTGACATCCCCACTATGGGAGCTGCGGAATTTACAGAATATTCTGACTGGTATTTGCAGTGATTTTATGTATTACCACTTGGAGATGGATGAATACAATTTGATGGGGTGAATAGAAAAGGCGTGAAAATCAATACATTGTCAGGAGCTTGATAAATTAGATTAATCACCCTCTTTCAAATGGCAACAAGAGGATAGGTGGCTTAGTAGCCATGACTGAATTGTATAGTAACATCACAACACAGTACTTCAGATTTTAATTTATGATTGGGGCTTAGGTTTGGCCTAAAGTTGTGTGAAGAATGTTTTTTTTTCATTTTACAAAAATCACAGATTTCGACAGAAATTGGCACATTTATTTAAATGTACTCTTGTTACACCCCATGGCTTTCAATCAGACAACTGTTCCCGTTAATTAAACCGTTACTTTAACCCTTTGGGGGGGATCCTTTTCTGTGTAATATTCCATATTGGGCACTGTGGAGATGCCCCCTCCTTCGTTTACAATAAAACCTGTAAAAAAAAAGCTTCACAAAATGAAGTTTACAAGTTTGATAAAGAGACAATGAACATCACAATAAACTAAAGGAAATCCTCACTTAATAGTTGATATATTATTTTGCTGTATCAACAGTTAAACAAATTGCATCATGGTCCACCTTACATAAAGACCAACAGAGGTTTTGGTTCAGCAGACATAAGATAACGTTCTGGTCAGTAAATATATTTTATGTATTTGAAATGAGAAGGAAGCTGCACGACTGCCTTCGCATACTATGTGCCGTGGGTTGTGTGAGGGCTGGGTTAAAAAAATTTGATCTTAGCTCGACCACCTACTTACAGAAGGGAACTGATAAATGTCCTCTCAGTTCCAACTTGTATTTTATGCGGGAGTGGGGACCAGCAGGTGCCTCTCTTCTTTTATCTTCTGTTCTGGGAGGAGGGATACTGGTTGTACATTTTACCCCAAAAGTGGCATCTCCAATGATGATCTAGTGGCCATGGGGTGCAGAGTAAGGTAGTTGTACTTACCTGAAGCTGTTCCTTGTGACCGCCGCCATCTTTGCTCTGGACATCCTCTTCAGTTCCTGGCTGAACCTGCAGCTGTACTGTCAC